CAAGGAGCGGGCTAATCTACTGTCTGCTATCAGCAGAACGATCCTTAGCATTGCAGCCTGCGACGGTAAGTAGTAGGGTAGACTCGCTTAGTGTTACTGCACGGAGCGGGCTTATCTACTGTCTGCTATCAGCAGAACGATCCTTAGCATTGCAGCCTGCGACGGTAAGTAGTAAAGCTTATTGTTGTACATAAGCTTATCGTTCGTTTGTATTTTACAATGTCGCGCAAAGAAGTGGATTATCATGACCGATTCACGTGACAAATTGGGTGGTTAATAGAAGCGGTTAACGGTTTCAAAAAAACCTCGAAGCATGTAGTGTTGATATCCTGGCCTGAAAAACACAAGAATCTCACGTCGCTTTTGCTGGAGATTACCAGATAGCGAGATTACTTCGGCGTTAAGCATTTCTCCACATGAGCTAAAATGCCGCTATTCCAGATTAAAACACGCCCCTCTAACGGGCACTACTAAAGTGGACCACTTCATGTAATGATACGATAACCATGCAGCGTCTTTGGCATTGCGACTGCTGAAGATTGTACGGCACCAATGCCGTGATAATTGCACGTTCAAACGCCTGTGCAAGCAAGTCATAAGTCTCCGAGTGTGCATCCAATTGCAAAGTTGGCTTGCTCCTCGCGCATATTTATGGTTCAATATGGTTAACACATTGCGCTAATTGCAGAGTAGCTAGCATACATACCACAGACGCGGTTATAGACTTCCAGAAGCAACACTCATAACAATAACGTGCGTGGATGAAAAGGTGTCGTAAGCACGGTTTGCATACTCATGCCAGTATCGGCAAAGTTCGAAATGCCCAAGGTTCCTGACAAAAACGTTTGAAACGTATAAAGTTGTCAACGACAAATGTTTTTAAAGCATAGTTTGCAAAAAGTAAAAAGTATTCTACCAAGGTTTGTTTCGGTCAAGGCTTGTGAACGTTTAAGTTGCTACTTAATAACGTTTTGCGATGGAAAGGTACGCAGTGGCAGCGTTCTATATAGAGGAAAGCTCGCATAAAATGGTTGTGTGCTGGTTCGTATGTACCGAGTCTCCTATCCAAAGTTTCGTAAAGGGAGCCATGTCTCCGTACCATGCACCAGCATGGCAAGTACATTTAACACACTTGCTCAGCTAGGCGTCGATCAATCAGGTGGACATGCATTACCAATGGCCACGGTCGCAGTCGGGGGCCGGACTCCAAAACCACGGTACACGAGAGCCCGCCGCGGCCCAGACGCGTCAGTCCTTCCGCGGCCGGCCGCGCTCCTCCCGAGGACACGAGCGCTACGAGAGCTCGCCGCAGCTCAGACGCGTTAGTCCTCCGCGGCCGGCCGCGCTCCTCCCGAGGACACGAGCGCCACAGTTCCGCATGCATCCCTACCGGCAGCCGGCAGCCGGCAGCCGGCCAGTGACCCCGGCTGGACGCCCCGCCTGGCTGGCCGGGGCTGCGCGCATGGCCCGTGCATCCTGTCAAGGGTCGAAGTGGGTGAGCCCCGGACCCTTCGACGAACGGCTGGAGTTCGCGGTCCTTGACTGTCGTCAGTCAGCGCCGCCGTGACGTCACGGCCGGAGCGCGGGTGGGCGATGTTAACGGCCACACGCGATGCCAGCATCGACGCATCGCATCGGACGCATCGCACAGACGGCTATCGGCGGGCCGAGCTGAGCGAGGCTCTTCCAGTCAGTGCACATTCCTGTCGCGCGTATTTTATGCAGCTTGCCGCTTGTACTTGCCTCGACACTGTCCATAGCTCTGTGAGACGCCTGACCACCTGGATTATCCCGAAATGAAGCCCGCGCAGCCCCAACGCCATTGGCAGCGCAGGCGCGCGCGTGTGCGGCCGGCCCGCGACAGGCCTCAGCGGGGCGTGGGGGGGGGGGGGGGGGCCGGGAAGACCCGCCGACCCCGGCAGGTCAGCCCGCCGCCCCACCGGCCCACTGGACCGGACCGGCGCTCTGTTACGGACGCCACTCCAGGACCGGTCACGTGACGTCACTTCCGGCGGCGGCGGCGCCGCCGTGACCCTACACGGCGGCGAGCGGCGGCTGCAGAGGGCGCCGCTGCAACCGGAGGGCCGCCGCCGCGGCCGAGTCCGATCCCCGGCCGGCGCGGTTGCCGCACCGGGGCCCAAGCTGAGCCCGAGTACGGGCCGGCGTGGTGCTGGACTGCACTACGGACCCCATGTGATCATTCAGTTCACCACCACCGATAGGCGGGGCAAGGTCCAATGCCCTATACTCACCCACTGACCTGTCAGACATACCTACCGGGAAAATGTCACCATAACCGTGACGCTGTAAATAGTGTAGTCACCGATGAACAAATATCGCTTTGACCATTCTGACAGCGACATAGGCCGGTTCCACTCCTGTTTTGCCTTCTAAGAAATAATAATAGCCAAGCTCACTCATCGCTGCACAGAACCACTCGGCCTGCACGGTTGAAGTCCTTAATCGATGCGCAATCCGGCCCAGCGGTGATTAATTGCTTAGTCTATCTAAACATGCCTGCATTGTCCCGTTCGTGGACGCTGCGGGCGGCGAACAAGGGGATGGAGCCGACTGTGCATTCAAACGGCTTACACGGAAACTACAAGTAATGAATTCGTAACCATTATAATCAATTTATCACTAACTATATTGGTCAAAGTTTTACAACTTTTCCAATCCCCGTGAATGAATCACAGGGAAATGTGGTGACCTCATAATTAATGTTCGCTGCCCTTTGGGCTGTACGGTGGGAAAGACTGATTGCCCCCCCCCCCCCTCCCCTCCCTCGCCCCACACATAAGAGCATTCTGTGTGCGACTCTGGCCGAGTAAGAGCAGCACTCGAGCAGGAGCTGATACCCGGACCTGACTGGCCTGCCCATCCGCACCGAGCCGCCACGTCAACGGGCTACCGAAGCTACCGACTATCGAAGTTACCGCAGCTACCTGCTATCGAAACTACCGTAGCTCAGACGGCCGGCGGCCGGATTTCGGCGAAAGCACATTGAATGTGGGCACCTAGCGCGAACCACGTGAAAGACCTCCAGGTGCATGCCTCACGCGAGTCGCGCCTTCGATCAAAATAAGCCAACAAACTACGACGTCCGACACTTGGCCACGCCGCGACGTCAGCGGCCTACCGGAGCTACCGAAGCTACCGAAGCTACCGGCTACCGAAGCTACCGAAGCTACCGAAGCTACCGGCTACCGAAGCTACCGGCTACCGAAGCTACCGAAGCTACCGGCTACCGAAGCTCCGGACACTTGGCTAAAAGCCGGACGCCACATTGACGTTGACGTTGATGGACGTTGGACCAAGCCCCTATTCGGGAAACCAGCAATGCCATACTTCTGCTGGTTGCACCGACCGCTGGACGGGCTGTGCCATGCGATCACCGGCACCAGGTCATGCCCCGATGGCGATGCCGGCGCTACACACCGCGGCTGATCACCAATAGGCGTCCACTGATGCACGTGAGGCAGGTGGTGCCCTGGGCGCGACGGTCGAAAGGTCGACTTAGCGGAGCTGCTGGGCGTAGCGGAGCACGCGAGACCAACGTCGCGGCGCCAGCCGCAGCGCGCCGCTCCCAGAAAGCGTCGGAGGCTGAACCGTTTCTGCATATGGTGATTATAAGGCCCTCCAGATGTGCTCCATCAAATCGACGGGACGAGTGCTGAACAACGCTCACGGGAGTACGTGGTCGCCCGGTAATCAGCCCTACAGAGGCGATAAATACATTTTCACGGTCTTGGGGGACAGGGCCCACTCCAAGACTGCCGTCAGGCCCGTGGCCAACTTGCAAAGTTCGGCCCCACAAGCGGGCCTGGGAAGCCCATACGACGCTGTCCAAACTCACACGAAACACGTGCGCGGGGCAGGCCGACCGAGTGGTCCGCTGGGGCATTCCTGAGTACCGAGAACGCGCCGTCATCGGCCGGGTCCAGACGACCTCATCCCGGCCACGCCCCGTCGCCGGCGCCCTTTACACCCGCCGAGTGCGGCGTGCATGAGTCAGATGCTCAGGGGTGGCGGCCGCCGCTGATACGCGCTGGCTCAGGAGGGCCGATACCGGCGCACGGGTGGCCTGCTGACGTCAGCACGTGTGAAGAGGTGCCCTGTCGACGGGCGGATTATCGCCCCGGGCCATCCCGCGCCGCCGCGTGACTCACGGCCCCCGGCGGCGGGGCGCCGCAGGGCGGCTGGGCGCGCGGACCCGGTCCACGTGTGTCACTCGTTGGTCGAGCGTGGGTGGACCGTCGGTCGCTGAACGTCATGCGAGAACGCAGAGGTGAGCTGCGATCCCTTGCGGCTCCCCCGTGGCCTCGGTCAGATGACCCCCTCAAAGACCTGACCTGAACGACGAGTCCCAAAAATTACCAGGCCATGCCCGGCCAGGAGCCGCGGCATGAATGGGGACAAAAATCAACGTACCAGGACAACCAAAAAATCCCTTAAGGTTTTCATACGTAAAAAGGTGATGAAGATATCCTCCATCATGTTCAGATCTTTTTTCTTCGGAGTTAAATCACTTCACCTTTGCAATTTAGAGAACCCTTCCATATTCTCAAAACGGCCTGGTATCGCTTCCACCAGTGAAGTGTCATCTTCAATTCAAATTAAGACATTCTCTCTCACTCTGGTGCAACTGCAAACCACGCCCACGTGATGTCTGACCACGGGCGCTGCTAGGGTCCCCCCCCCCCCCTCCCTCCCTAGACCTGCATTTTTTACCTGATGGCTCCTGACAGAAAGTAAGAAATCGGGGTAATATGTTCTCCCCTAGCTCCGCCCCCTTCCCCTCCCCCCCCCCCCCCCACCCGCCCACACACACTTGAGATAATCCTGGCCACACTCCTACGTCTGACCCACTCACGTCGACCTCGCCCTCTTCCGCCGGCCTGCACTGACCTTTGATGACCTCGCGGGTGCGCAGGTCGTCGGCGCGCTGGTCGCCGTCGGAGCCGGCGCCGTCCTCCGAGTCGGAGCGGCCGGGGCCGCACGTGATTGACCGACGGGCGGCCGTGCTGGCGGGGCGGCGAGGCGCCGCGGGCCCGGTACGGCGGCGGCGAGCCGCGCCGCACCGACATGTCCAGCGGCCCGTCGGCGGAGTCGTCACCCGCGTCACTGTACGCCGCCGAGTCTTGTCTGCAACGGAGGGCGCAGCATGAGAGCAGCAGCCGACAGCCGCGGACAAGGACGCAGTCGACGCCTCGGCGGTTTTGCCCGCTCCTGGCCGCTGCGACAACGCGGCGGCCGTGGCCCGCCTAGTCCAGTTGGAACCTACAGGGTTGCCGCAGGACGGGTTGTCCCTGCATAGGATCGATCCTTGCTACCCAGCTGCCATTTCCCCAAAGCCTGTGGTAACGTGAGCGTCAGAGCGCGACGTTGATGACCTGCGTTACGCGCGTCGTGAAATGCCCAAAGGTCGTTTTGGTAGCGGGAGCCACGGGTAGCGTCGTTACCATGGGCAGGACGGATGGGGTGCGGGTGGAGGGTGTAACGAGCGGCGGCAGGGGCGGCGGGTGCAACGGACTGGGGTAGGGGAGGCGGATGCAACGGACTAGGGTACGGGCGGCGGGTGACACGGACAGAGGCGCGGGCAGCGGGCAACCTTTCGGAAGTTGCACCTTCCGTGAGCAGAGGGTGCAACATGCGGGGGCGGGGCTGCAGGTGGAGCACGCGGGGATGCCACATGCGGGGGGCGGGGCTGCAGGTGAAGCATGCGGGGGTGGGGCTGCAGGTGAAGCATGCGGGGGTGCAACATGCGGGGGTGGGGCTGCAGGTGGAGCACGCGGGGGTGCCACATGCGGGGGCGGGGCTGCAGGTGAAGCATGCGGGGGTGGGGCTGCAGGTGGAGCATGCGGGGTGCAACATGCGGGGGTGGGGCTGCAGGTGAGCATGCGGGGTGCAACATGTGGGGTGGGGGCTGCAGGTGGAGCACGCGGGGGTGCCGCATACGGGGGCGGGGCTGCAGGTGGAGCATGCGGGGGTGCAACATGCGGGGGTGCCACACGCGGGGGCGGCGGCGGTGGATGCGTCAGGCGCACGGGTCGATAGCTGGCCCGGCCGGCCGCGGGCCAGACAGGATCAGTCCCAGCGCCGCCGCGGCGGGACAACGCGGCGGCGGCGGTGGCGGGGGCTCTCGGCCCGTGTCGCGGCAAGACAGCTGCCTCGCGACGGGGCTCGGCTCGCACACCGTCCGCGACCGTTGGCAGGCGCCCCACGGGGCCGACGGCGGTGTGCCGGTGTGATCTCTTTCATCGCTGTCGTCTGCCGCGACGCATGACAACGGGCGGCGAGGCCCACGACAGCGGCACATAGGACAGCCGCATCCGGCGGCGGCCGACCTTTCGTAACGCGCCGCGTCACCTGAGTCACGTGACCTCGAAGGCGTGTGGACACGCGGCCGGCAGCGTGGCCAACACCCATCATTTGTCGTAGAACAGATACCACGTGTTAGTCACGTGGAGCGTCGGGGGCCGGCGACAGAGTGTCGCGACCGGGCACTCTGCGCCACTCAACTGCGCCTATCTCATAATTCGTTCTTCAGTATTTTAAGACTTACTCCGAACGCCTTGATTGAAAGATCGCTGGGACCACAAGCTCGTGCTATGCAGTGCTTGTTGCGTGAACCCTGACCGCAGTCATCAGATCGTAAATTCCAGGTTAAGAGAACATTTTGCGGCGAAAAGTTTGCATGCCGTAATGTTTCGATCCGTCCTGTCGTTTGGCGTCATCTGAACTTTAGCGCGGCCGCTACAAATGGCGGCCACCATCTCAGTCATGAGCAAAATGCGAGCGCTTCAAAAGGTTTTATGAATCCATGCCACCACTCGTGTAGCAGCGGGCGAAGACAGACGCTCAACAAACTGAGCTACCGGAGCCCGCAGTCGAGTACAAGTTCGCCACCAAAAGCTCAGATTTTCCACTTGGAGCAGTTTTCGGGAGATCCTTCCTTGGAGTTGTTTCCATCAGTGAATCAAGCACTTTTTTCAAAGATTTACTCGGTATTCTAAAGGACCGCTAAAATACCTGCTTCGTAGATCGATACTTGCTTCGTGGCAAAACTGCTTTGTAAGGCATCTCATGCCAGCCAATAAATATTCATTTCGATTCCAACGTGTCATTCGTTGGCAAGCAAACTCATTCGCGCTGCAAGTCCACCCGTCGGTGGTGGCCACACACCAACGCCACGTGGCCTATGGCTCTGACGGGCATAATTCGGCTTGAAAATTGTTTACTCACTCTAAGTGACCCAGGTCCGCTTTGTAGCACCATGTATCATGGTGCTCTGTCATGCAACTAGTCCAGCACATTCATCGTGGAGGGTTGTTGTGATAGTCTGCTGCTGACACGGTTGTTGTGAAGGTGGCACAGCTCCTACTCTTTACACTTGGAGCAGTAAAGCGAAATCTGACCACACACGCACGCCTCTGGATTAGAGGCGATCGGTGGCTTGCGAACAACTTTTTGGTTTTCGTCCTGAATTCGTCGAATTCGTATCAAGCATTTCAAATTTTCCATCTGAAAACGCAGTGTTGAAATTCTTCCACTGTACTCCTCTAGCCTAATCCACGGCGGGTGACCTCCGGGCCTCCTAAGGTTTTCGGGACAACTTCTACGCGGTTTTCAGCACGGCGCTTAATTTTTGGCAGTGTGGCCAAGTGCTTTTGACGGTGTGGCACAACTTTCACATGTCTTGCAAACGTTGCAAGTTTTCCACGCTGGCAGCTCGTGATCTATGACCTCTTTCTCGAGGCCATGCCGGTGAGATTTCTCTAAACAGTGACGGATCATGACGTCATGTTTTCGACAAATGACGTTACAAAGCACTTGGAAAATGGGGAAGGTGAAGACGGAGTAAGAAAAATGAAACAACGCAACGAGGCATGAGGGGCGGAAGGGAGAAAACCAACAGGAAAAAAGAGAAATACAGAAACCAGTGCAGGAGTCGAGGCAAAGAAGCAAGTAAAATAATTGGGAGACAGAGGAAAGACACAGACGAAAAGAGGGCAGCAGCCGACGGGCAGCAGCCGACGGGCAGCAGCCCGCGGCTCGCCGCCGACCGCGGGGTGGTGGGCCGGCCGCCCCCCTCCGTTGGTCCGTACCTCTTGAGCCGCAGCTTGGGGGCGGTGAGCGGGTCGTTGCGTCGGCTCTCGGAGCGCTCCAGCTTCCTTTGGCGGGTGGGCAGGTCCTTGGCCGGCGAGCGGCGATCCTGGCCGGCGGCCGGCGGCTGGCCAGACCCCGAGCCCCCGTCGCCGCCGCCGCCCAATGCACGCTGCGCCGCGCGACGTCTCAGCTCCTCTGCAATACGAAGACGGCGCGAGCGTCAGCGCCAGAGTGGGCCAGTCGCCCCACGCGGTGCTGCTCCAGTGAGCCCCCTGCGCTAGCGGGCAGCCGGCGGCTGGCGCCGAGCGTTCCAGCGTCGCCCGTCAGTGGCCAACGACCGTGTCACGAGTCACAGCTCAGTTAACAGCCCCCCCCCCCCCACGCCCAGCGCGCAACCGGCAGGCAAGACAAAATAAACACCTCGTACACACACGCGCGCTACCAAATGAAGGCATCCGTGTCCGGTGGGACGCGCTTGGAACGTCGGCTGACGCGGCCATCCGAGGCGGATGGCAAGCCGCGGCCGGACCGGGCTTGGCCGGACCGGGCTGGACCGTGCCGGGCCGTGCCGCGCCGTGCCCGTATCGACCCGTGGCTGGGCTGCGCTGATGATTAATCACAGCGTAAAGGTCGCCACGGAAGCGCTGCACTTATTGTCACCAGTATTGATCAGAATAATCGGCGCGAGCCGGCGCCAGCCCCAAAGACACGGCACGGCCGCGCCGGCCGGTCTGCCCGCTGGCAGATCGACCCCGGTGTGCAGGCGGGTAGCAGTGGTATCCACCACCGTGGATAGCAGCGTGGGTATGCCACCGTGCTGGTCAAGTATTGTATTGCTGAGCTAGTATTGCGAGCCCAGTTCACGACCCACGACCTCACCAAACGGGGGTCAAGGCGCATATCGCCAGGCAGCTCCCAAAGCGGACCATGTGGGCTACAAGCGGTGGGCCATGCCGCTGCCGGCCGCGTGAGGTAGGCCTGCGCACGCGCACGCGACGCGCCTCTTAAACCATCCGGCGTGGCTATCGGCCATTACGCGGCTAATTTCGGGGCCGGTTCTCTGGTGGCTTCGGCTGCGTGCGGCCGGCGCTGCACGAGCTCGAAGGTCCGGCTGGGCACCTCCGGTTAGGAGATTTCGCCGGGCGGCGCCCGCTGATTGGGCGTTGTCTGCAGCGCCGGCGGGACCGGCACGCACCGGCTCGTAGTCAGCTAACGACAGCCTAATTGGCGGCTGGGAGGCGAGCCGCCGTCGGCGCCGCACGCCACCCGCCGCTGGTAGGCTCGACCCGCGCCACAGCGGCGCCTGCTTACTGGCCAGCCTGTCACGCGCGCAAGTGGCGGCCAAATGCCCCGCGTGCCTACAGACCAGGCGCGCCTGGCCATCGCGAAGACCGTCGACACTTGTGCCGCATTCGCTGTGCAATTACGTCAGCACCAGCGGAACGGCCCGAACGCGCGTCACCAGAGCAAACACAAGCTCTGAGCAGACCCATTAGGGCACGTGATAGGCCAAAGCGTTCAGGACGCCCACTCGCACATGCCCGGGCCGTACGGCCAGGCAGTGCGCAGAGCGACAGAACAACGGCGGCAGGTGTATCTGCATCCACTGCTGAGACCGCCAGAGCCGCGGCGGCGCGGCCAGCGGCACGGCGTGAGCGCGGGCGCGCAGCCGGGGCGCCATGGGCCGCGTCCCCCGCTGCGGGGCGAACGAACGGCGGCGGCGGCGGCGGCGGCGGCCCGACGCTCCGCCTCATTACCGCGGGTTCAGCGTCCCCTCCCCGGCCGGCTGGTAAACAGGACGGCCAGCGCCGGGGGAGCTTGCCCCGGGCCTCTCGCGCGCAGGTAACAAGAATTACAGGTGTCCGCCGGGCGTCGCGCGGCCCGCATTGTGCACCGGAGCAGGCCGCATTGTGCACCGGAGCAAGCGGCGGCAGGGCGGCGCGGCGCCGTTGCCCAACAAAACAGGCTGGGGAGGGCTGGCGGGCCGGGGGTCGCTCTGCCCGAGACGGTCCGATGCCGGCCCGGCGTCCCCCTCCCTAATGACCACCCATGATCGGGCCTAATTTGGGGACTCCGGGACAGCGGGAAGAGGGCCTGGCCGGATACGTGTTCCATACAAGGCGGACGCAGCGGTGCCTTTGAGCCTGCCGGCACACCGAACATTAGAGGCAATTTCACGTTTTACTAGACGTGTGAATGGAGCGCCGACTCCTTTTGTCAGCGTGGCCGTCGCCGAGGCAATTTAGCAGCGCCAGCTGAGTCGAAAGGTCGCGACACGGCCCAAAATAAACACAACAAAGCACTGACAAATGTGACGGATCTACGCTGGGGGAAACAAGGCCGGTACCAGGCCTGGCAGCCAATCATACGGCTGAGGGCTCAGCGGGCTGGCTTATCCCCTTGATGTCCAAGCGAACATTCCTTGATTCATTTGGGCAGCAGCCGCGGCGACACGCCGCCGTTGTAATGTGCTCCTCTTAATCTGCATATGCCCATCTGTCGCTCTAAAACACGGGAGAGGACTGTGAATGCTGCACTTGCCGGCTCCTTTGAGCCACACCTACTGGCAGCAGAACTTGAGTTTAGCTTCACGGAAGAGATTCAGTGACGACAGCGGTAAGAACTAATTTTCACGGGCATTTATGGGAGCACGCCATTTTAAAATAGCAGTTGATGGTGCTTTGAGGGTCACTGGCGTGGCATGCACTAGCACGTGAAGCATGACGGTGGAGCAAACAAAGACCCTACAGCATCGACCATGGCAGAAGCTTTAGAGATTTACGCGAAAACAATCCACGAAGAAGAGCCCTCCGGAGATCGGCAGATAAAGACTTCGACAGATCGTCATAGAAAACGCACCTTTAAAGGGATCCTCATGGTTGTGGTACGTTTCGGCCGCCTGTAATGAACCTTGCAATATGCCGGCCGAGCAAGTCTGACCACATCAGCGATATGCGATGCAATTTTGACTAGCTTTCTGCCGGAGTTTGCACGATTACTGATATCCTGCCACACCGAAACAGGCCCTTAGGTGGTTCGGGACTTGAGCCATTCGTCACAGATGTTCCCTCGAGATGACGATGACGTTCACCACCACGGAGGGCAGCGCCGATACACATGCCAGCCATCAGTAACACGTCGGAGTGAAGACCGCTTTACTCCGTCGAGACTGCACTGTAAAGGGTTCAGGTTATATAGCCTGTAGCATGGACTTCGTCCATTGCCGGACGACACCAAACGACACTTATCGCACATGAAGCGGCGTCAATTTTTGTTTGTTGTTTATTAGTGTTTTCGGGCGCGCCAACTGCAATGGTCATTTTGCGCCCGAGTATGGCGTCAATTTTTCCCGTGTGAGAACCGAGGCGCGATTTCGTGATTACTGCTTGGCTCCTTTGTATGTTCTCTCTCAGCGCATGTTTCGCTGTTTCGGTTTCCCGTGATACCCATGCGCGATCGCCAGTTCACGACGACAGGCTGCTAAAAAAAGAGCCGTTTTGTAGCGAAGTTACCTGAAGATGTAGCGATGTTCTACAAAACGTACTTCCAAAATCAAGGTGCCTCTGTCTGCCGGCAGACATTTGCACCCATTGGCGTTTGTACGTTTGCAGGCATGTTTTTATATCTTCAAAAAGGTGGCAGGGCTCAGTGCGGTTCAACGCATCCCTTTCAATGCAATTCCCCACCTGCAGTCTTAGTTACAATAAACATACAGCAAGTCTTATTTGATCCTATTTCACTCAATATGGCAAACAACACATAGCTACCAACATAACCAATCCCGGCTAAATTATTGGCCGTGACTTCAATCCATCAAAACCAGTTCAGGCTGGTCAATCTTTCAATCCAATGTTCTCCTATCCCGTGTCGTGACAAGGGTAAGAGCTGGGACCCTCGTAAGTCGGATCCACGCCACCATCGTACCCGGGGCTCCGCGGGCGACCCTCCGCTCGCCGATAGTGGTGACGCTCATGGGCTCATTATCTTCCAACGACGATATTACTCAACTCGTGTACACACACCTAGTTCGTCCATGCTTTGTCACAGTGGCACAACACGCCTGCACCGGGCCGCCCCGATTTACGCCGTGGCCCCTGGAGGCCGTCCGTTTGCCTGCGCCCAGCCTTGCAGCAGCCTCCCGCCAGGATTGGTCCTCGTGGGCCTACGGAGGTCCACGGGCTGGGTACGCCTACCTAAGCTGGGAGTGCCGCTCTGTTCAGGCCACGAGGCGGTCCGTTACCACGCTTCACCCTGTTCTGTGGTTTGCATGGGGGGGGGGGGGAGGGGACACACCACGAGTAGGTCTGGGGTGCCCCCTTATGTGGGCTTCGAGATGTCCTTCCAGACTGTACCGGAGACGCACCTCACCAATGTCATTGGCGCCTACCATCTTGACCTGGGACACCATCTTCCTTAGTTTGGGAAGTTTGTCCTTGGGTTTGGGAGCTGCCGCCTACCCTGGTCCGGGACGCTTAAATACTTGGCTCTAGGGGAGCCTCCCTATGTAGATCTGGACGTTGCTCTACCTAGATGTAGGGCGCCCTCCATTTAGGCCTTGAGCTTTGGGGCGCCGTTCTGTCTAGGATTGGAGCATCCTCCATTTAGGCTTAGGGGCGCTTTTCTGTCCAGGATTGGAGCATCCTCCATTTAGGCTTTGGGGCGCTTTTCTGTCTAGGATTGGAGCACCCTCCATTTGTGCTTGGGGACACCTCCTGCCTGGCTCATGCCCAGGGGCATCCGTCCCTCTTGGGCTATAGGGCGTACGTCTACCTGCGACTGAGGTGTTCCTCTTTCTGGGACTAGCGCACACGCCACGCTGGTTCGGGGGGGGCTCTCGTCCGGGGGCTTGGCCGTGCCCTTTCACCAGGGCTCCGGGCCCAGTGGCGCCGCTCAAATCCGCTTGATGGCACCGTGCTTTGGGCCTCACGTGGCCAGCGTGCCTTAATTGGCCGAATAGGCGCAAACATTTCCGGATGTCAATGGAGGTGCCACTAACACAATGACGCTCAAACGGCCACATCCACGCCATCGGCTGGTTGAGGGCCGATCCTCCCTTGGAAAGGTCTTAGCACTGGCGTCAGCGCCCGGGACCAAAAGTGCGCCACACGCGCCCCGGCGTGGGGGCAGGGTGCACGATCCAGCTCGGGAACCGGTGAGGCGTGCGATCCGTTTCGCTCCCACGCCCCACCGTACGCCCGCTGGCGGGCGGGAGAGCCCGCCACCCCTGGCGCCCGTGCGCCCGCCGGCTGCGGCGAAGCGGACGCTGCAGGCAGCCAGCGAGCTGATTCTACTGAACACCCGCACCGTTGATGACCGCCCGCACGCCCGCACGGAGCATCTCTGCGCCGCTTACCGTCTTCATCTTGATCGAACCACGGTTGCCAGACCTTCACCCGCGGGCGCTCCTGCTCCGACATTGTCGGCGGCATCGGAAGAGCGGCGCCTGGCTAGCGTCCGCAGTCGCTCCGCAGCATGCCCGCCAGCCGCCGCCGCCGTCACCCAGCGTCACAAGCACACCCCGGACGCGCCTGCCCAGCACTGCCCCGCTCCGCTCAGCTGAATGAGCCGCGCCCGGCGCACGCGGCAGCCGGCCGGTGCCGCGCGCTGATTGGTCGGCGCGCGCCGCCGATTGAGTCGGCGCCGCGACGCCAGGTACCGCGGCGGCGGCGGCGGCGGCGGCGGCGGTCGGCTGGCGCGGCGGTTGGAGCGGAGCGGGCGGGCGGCCGCCCGTCGGCCACGGCTGGAATTTGGCAGCCGTTTGACGCCAGCTGCCTCTAAATACCACGGCTGATACGTTGACTATTTGCGAACGGAATGCTTAAGAAAATACGGTCAAAGGTTAAGCAGCAGCGGGCCGCGCGTCGGCCTGGGTTTAGTGGTGCAGCGGGTAGCGGATGCCATGCGCAGCAGTACAGCGGGCTCCGCTTATCAGCAGCGCGTCCATCAAGGGAATACAATGGTAACGGTGATGTTCACTCGTGAGGTGGTTAATTACGGCCTGAATAAACCGTCGTTTGGGCTAACGTTCCAGGGATGCTTGGCTCATAACTTTCCTCACATTCGACGAATACTACCACTGATTGGCTTACAAAATCGAGCAATCGAACGAACATAATTGAGCAAAAGTTGCATTAGTGGTTGCAGAAAATTCGAACATCGCCCGGACCCCAGTCGGCCTCGAGTGATCAAAGCCACCGTTTTTCCTGTCTCCTTTTTGCTTTGCGCTGGTGCAAGATTCGACCCATAAATCACGACACCGATCGGTATCAATCAATCGGAGATGTCTAAAGGTTTGACAGCTCACACATTGATATGGATAAATATCGTGTCAATAAACTGAACAAGCTGGCATCGTAACTGGTACTTGGTGTCTGTAATGTGAAAAGGCCGTTCCACTCGGCTCCTGCGACTGCGTTAGCTGCAAGGGGCGACCACGCTGCTGAGACATCAGCCTTTTGGAAGGAAAACACCTTCTGAGCGACAAGCGGGCTGTCTGTGTGCAACTTCGTCGTGTTGAACAAGCACAAAGGTGCACTACGGATCAACGAGCACGATTTCGGAGCGAGTTGGGCCATTGTCTCGATTCACCCGGAGCTCCTCCTGCACGCCGTGCCGGGCCGGACGCGAGGGCGCCATGTCCGCCGCACCCGTCCCCTGTCAGCGGTCGACAGTGCTGCGGTGTCGTGTCGGGCGGCAGCCGGCGGACTGTGGACCACCGGCGGCGGCCGACCCGTCGCCGTGATCACGTGGCAAGGACGGCGCCGCCGTAACAGCAGCGTCGGGCCGGCGATGGTGCGTTTGCCCGCCGTTCACCGAGCGTCCGAGAGGGCCCAGACTGAAGCGCCCGACCGAGTTCAGTTTTCGGTGTCCCGTGTCCGGTGTGCAGTATCCAGTGCCCGGTATCCATTGTCAGCTGTGAGATATCCACGGTACGCGGCGGCGCCGGGGGTGGAACTTCCCAAGACCTGCCGCCGGCGACGCTGCTGCGATACTGCTGCAGCCGTGTGTGCACCATTTCCGCGTGTCCACTGTCCAAAGCCACGTGAAGCGATCCTGGCGTGCACCATGCTCAGCTCACAGCGCCAGCATGTCCACAGCCCAGAAACATCCACTCGCCGTCTCTAGCCGTGCCCGCCACTCAGCCGTTGCCAACTATCCAGTCATGTCCACTGTCCAGTCACGCTCTTTCTCCAGCCAGGTCCACCGCCCAGTAATGTCCCTGGCAGTTCATTCAAGTCCACTGTCCGGCAATTCAGTCGTGTCCGCTCTCCAGCCGCGTCCGCCGTCCGGCCACTGAGTTCTCCGTGCCGGTCCATGAGCACCCGTGCCGCCGCCGTGCCGCCGCCGCCGCCGCCGGTGGCGCCCACGGCCGCTCAGGGTCACCGCTGGCGGCGCCGGAAACGGCGCCTCTGGCGGGCCGGCGCCGCAGCGGCGCGGCGGCCAGACCACGTCACCGGCTGGACACGGCGCGGCCGGCCGGGCTCACTTCCGCAAACCGACGCCGCCGCCGCCGCTGCGCCGCCTGCCGCCGCCGCACTTGGAGACAGAGGGGCATGGCACCACCATCTGTTTGCGGTGGGAAGTGACCAGAAGCGGCCAGGTGGATTACCCATAATAATGCACGGTACCCGACACCATTGTTTCTCCAGCTTTTACGAAAACTGTTTTATGGGACCATTATACGCTGCAAAGCCATTCCCAAACCCCCACCATAGCCTGATAACAATTCAAGAGCTCAGTGAGTTTATGCAAAATACGTCTGTCATCTTTTAGGAAGCATGGAACAGGGCAGTCAAAACGACTGTGTCTTCTGTTAAAAAGCACGAATTGCCAGCAGTCAAATGCTACTGAATTATGCTCCCACCAATACCATGCAAGAATGAACACCTAATATAACTTGTCCATGGATTGTGTTCCTTGAGTTAAAAAAATCAAAAAAATATTGAACATTCCATCCAACCCAGTTGTGCGACCCGACCATGCAATGGGAAATCTCATCCCATGATAATAGCATAAACGCGCAATCAGGCAACGTTGTATGGCAAGAAAGCTGAGGCAAATCCTGCCAGCACAAGAAATCTTCGCATTGCATCACCACTACACCCGCAGTTTCAGACCCTGAGCCTGGCAAAATGACCACTCCACCATGATATGACTCCAATACTCAGATGCATTTGTAGACCTCGGCACAGCATTGCATGCCTTATTTCACTAAAAGCGACACTTTCCCACCGCGGGCTGCCCTACAGGACCATTGCACGGCGTAAGGCCAGATTCAGGGCCTCTGTTGGAATGAGCATTGCGCAGTACTTTCATGTCCCCGCTTGTTGCGTCATATGAGTGTTGTCCTATGTCATGCTTTAAATTTTTTGTGTCGCTATTTTGGGGTGAGTTTCAGGCTCCAGTCCCATGTCAAGCTTGCCTTATATAAGTCATGTACTGCCTTCGGCATTTAGTATGGATTTTCCATATAATTTCGGATCGCGAGGCTACAGGCCAAACCCAGCATTTGAAGCGTGAGCAGTGAGCAATGATCCTCTACTTTGACGAAAGGTTCAATGAATACGCGCCCAACTATTGGGCATGTTCCACGAGAGGTCTCCGAAATGGTGCATGGCTTCCGCGTGGCAAACAGATACGTAAACGGCCTCCTCGTTTCACATCAGTGCTATTTCAGAAAATGCACGCCGCACTTAATTTTGATTTTCACGTCAATGGTTGTAATGCCTAGACTTCAGCCTCCTTTCCAACAAACCCTTTCACTTGAGCTCAACTCGAAATTGGACCTGGAGTTAAATGGAAGGTTCCATATTTGTGGATATTGAAGCAAGCATCAGACATGATAAAATAAGCTCGCTGATACCCATTGGTGTACTTTTAAGTGTAAAAGACTGCTCTAAACACATCGAGCAAATATTCTGCTCAATACATCATTGACCATGTCATGGAGCGTTTATAAGATGTTGAAGTGTCGTCCCACACCACGATCCAAAATTGCCACCTTAGCACTCGTTTGTAGTGCTTCAATCTCCTGAGAGGTGGCCTTTGCAGTGCTGCAGGTGTTTGGTTAACCAAATTTCGTTACGTGCTCTGTGTTTTGGCCCTTTCTTGTGGTCTCTTCGCATACGTACTAGTGAGTTTAAGGTGTTAACTTGGCATTCACATGCACGGTTAAGGCACTCATCTTAAGTTCTTCGATTACAAGCCTTATTTTCATAATAACTAGCACCCATGTCCAACTTCTTGTGCTATGTAGCAAACGTGACTAGACTTTGCACCATTGTTAACATCTGCTTGCCGTCTGCTTTATCTAGAAACCTTGCTCACGAACGTCAGGTGTGGACGGCCCCGCCGGCTATGTTCTCGCTAATCTTGAACGCCACGTGGCCGATGGGGGTGGCGATATTTTGATGATGATACTATCGGACCGTGCATTCCTGATTGACCTTGAAATGGTTTGTACATACTCGTGGGGGTTTGCCTGATGAACTAGGGCGTTTTATGTCTTTAGAAGGGTACGGCTGTGAACTGCGCCAAATGATCGCCAAAATAGCTATTTTAGCTCCAAATCTAATACAAATGTGGATCGACCCATAAAACTTGAGTTTGGGCTCGATGCGGCAATGACCCACCCATCATATCCCATTTAAATTCTGGCACAACGCTCAAAAGATGCAGTAACTCCAAAGCATAAAAACAAGAACAATAAGCTCCATCCCTACCACAAATGACCCAAGTGTGTTGAAGGAATTCGTGTAGAACGGAAGTCTTCCTGCAAACAATTCATTTAGACATCCAGATGTCCGTTCGAAGGCCACAAAGCGATTTATCCAGTTTGACGCACGGCGGATCATTTCGGACAGCGTCCATAGCCGCGTTTGAGCCACAAGGAAGTGTCGCCTGATCAGCTCGCCGGTAAGCCAAGTTTTGTAGGGCCTGACTATGCATGACTATGTAAACATGCTAGCAGATTTGTTTGTAAGTTACATAAACTCTATTTCAATGGTGAAATCCTGTTTAAAAAGGAGCAAAAAGTGGAAGGCGTATGAATTATACCAAACAATGCCCCTTTGCCTTAATTCTGGACACATGTACTATGTCTGCAATATTCTAGCCGTAAAGCGGATGTGCTGCAGCGCTGCCAAAAATATGCTGAATGTAGATGCGGTCATTTTCCGAATGACTCAGACTCTCCTTCGTGGTAAAGTTCGTTGGCAGTGGACCGGAACTGTCGACGCAAGTCTTGAGAGGCAAAAAAACCGTTTAGCAACAGCACAGTCTGAAGGCCTGATCAGCCAATCCCCTGTCCGTTATACTCCAGTGGCTCGTTCTATTGTCTATGGATTTTCCATTGTTAGGCCTCTGCACCCCTTTAACGAGAGACAGTCCAGTCTGCAAACGGAGCAAAAAACCAAAGGTGGGCACCATGCTCAAAACGATACAGGCCGGTCTGCACATGAGGCCAAGACCCGCGACAGTACCTATCGCACTAAAACGGGTATGACCAGCCTGCACTTAGGCCAAAAATATGTGGCAAGCGC